CATGCACATGAAAAGATTCTCAACATCATGAGTTATTAAGGAAATGCAAATCACAACCACAATGAGATACTACTTCACATCCATTAGAATGACTATAACAAAAATACAGACAATAACAAGTATTGCCAAAGATATGGAGAAATTAGAATCCTCATTCACTGCTGATGGGAATATAAAATGCTGCAGCCACTCTGGAAGAAAACAGTTTGGCAGCTTCTTAAAATATTAAATATAAATTTACCATATGACCCAGCAATTCCACTCCTAGGCATCTACCCAAGAGAAAAGAAAACAGATGTCCACATGAAAACTTGAACAAGTATGTTCATAACAACATTATTCACAATAGCCAAAAAGTGGAAACAATCCAAATGTCCATCAACTGATGAATGGATAAACAAAATGTGGTATATCCATACAATGGAATATGAAGTACATGTTACAATATAGATGAACTTCAAAAACATTATGCTACATGAAAGAAGCTAGACACAAGACCACATATTATGATTCCATTCATATAAAATGTGCAGAAAAGGCAAATCTATGAAGACAAAAAGTACATTAGTGGTTGTGTGGAGCTGAGGAGTGACCGCAAATAGTCACAAAGATTTTTCCAGGATGATGGAAATGTTCTACAATCAGACTGTAATGATGGTTGCACAAATCTGTAAATATATTTTAAAAAATTATACAATTAAAACAGGGAGATTTTATACCATTTTAATTATATTCCAAAAAGCTGCTGAGAAACACAGAAACCGGGAGATAAAGACCCCAATATTAACTAGGTAGGTGATTGAGACACATAATGTTTTAGGTGCTTAGAACAGTGGATGGCATATGTGAACACATCTGGTCAGTATTTGTGGAATGAAGTTAACTTTTTAAAGTCAGATAACTAAAAAAAAAAAAAAGGATAGAATTCAGTACTCAATCCACAGATTCTTTTTTTTCCACAAATTCTGTAAAACCCCAGAAAAATTCAGACAGAATAGCCACCCTGTTACATCACGATCAGAGTGCTATTTACTACCAAATGATCAAACATTTTCCTGATCTGAGCAGGCTGGAGTTTGTTCCAAAAGCAGTGATACTTTTTTCCACTTCTGTGTCAAACCAGCCATCAGATCTGTATGGAAAATCAAACTCTAAATAGGCTTTTGTTACTGAACCTAAAACAACATAAAGCCTCTTTAATAGTTTCACAACAGGCCAGGCGCGCTGGCTCACACCTGTAACCCCAGCAGTTTGGGAAGCCAAGGTGAGTCGGTTAACTGACTTCAGGAGTTCAAGACCAACCTGGGCAACACGGCAAAACCCCTTCTCTACAAATAATACAAATATTAGCCAGGTACAGTGCCATGCGCCTGTAGTCCCAGCTACCTGGGGTGGGGAGGGGACTGAGGCAGGAGAAACACTCGAGCCTGGGAGCGAAGATCACGCCGCTGCACTCCAGCCTGGGCGACAGAGCAAGATCCTGTCTCAAAAAAAAAAAAAAAAAAAAACATGAAAAATCAGTTTCACAACTCTCCAGGTCCAGCTTAACCTATGTCAATATTGTTTCCTGAATAAGTAATTATTAGAGATGTACTTGTGTTATCTGTGTGTACTGGCTCCAACATAAATACAATGTCCAAATTACCATTTCTGCCAGATAAATTTAAAATAATTTTCGTACCTTAACCTTAAAAAAATGATTTTATATCAGATTGCATTATTTGTTCGAGTGTCATTATTTGCTGAGGAATTACGCGGACATATTCCATGAGGTAAAATGTAGCAAGCTGTTTAAACGAAATGACCACCACATTACTTTCTAGAGTTTTTAATCTTTTGCCATACAAAAACAAACCAGTTAAGACGGTCCAAAAATAAAGGTCCGATTCTCACCATGCCCAGAACCCTCCAGGATGATACAATATTCTCTGCATCATAAGTGGTTTTGTACAATTTGGGCTGATGTGTAATACTGTTCCACTGGTATTTCTCCTCCTACTCTCCACCAGCCCCTCATTTATGGGTATGCCATTTAATGAAAGGACACCTTATAATCCTTTCACTCATCAGGAATATCCAAAAGACTAGTCTAAAACCTCACATGAAAAGTCAAATTCTTTACTCCACAAGGAAACAAACTGCACAATAGAGGCATTTTCATTTATTAACTTATCACTTTACCTACTAAGGTTCCAACTACCGTGAAAGAATAAAATAATTGTAAACTGATTTTGAGAGCCATAGAAGTTTTCATTTTAATAGTAAAATTGTCTACTGCAATTCCTCCTACTTCTACCTGCACTTTGGATACAGTCTAGTTGCTAAGAAGTAAGAAGTTAACCATATTTTACACGTTTAGAATTAAATCTTGGCTCCCCAGCTTTTAGGAACTGAACAACTTTGGGAAACCATGGCTTTACTGAGCTTTATAATTTCACATACATACATACATACATACATACTGGAATGTAACGTGGACTGTTTTTTAAGTCCATTTGGGTCTGGAGACAACATGAACATTTAAGCTTATCTTCCCCCTTAGATTGATGACAACCTCCCTCTTTTAATAAACATAAAAATCAGTCCTCCTTTTAGTGTTGGTTGAAAAAGTATAAATATATTAAGTATCACAGCTAAAAACAATCAGTTCCCTCACCTCAATCAGTTGAAATCACTGCCCTCATCTGACCATCTACTCAATCACTCTGTGATGACAACTCTAGACCCTTGTGGTAGATCTTGCTGGCCCAATCTTCCATTCTTTGAAGAAATTAAAGACTTGGAAATATACAATCAAAGGCAGAGTCCTCTTACCACAACAAAATAAGTAACTTTTCTAAGCAAAAATTATTTATTCCCAGAGTAAACCAAAGGGTGCACTCAGACTACCTCAAGAAGCTACAGAAAAATGCACATTGGAAGACTCAAGCCTTTATCCCCATTCTCTTCCTAGGCAATGGTGTCAAAGCAGCACAAGCCTCTACCTTTGAAATTACAATGTTCTCTTCAGTAAATTATTTCAAGATACTTTGGAAAGTATAGAAGGAGTCTAACAGACCTAGAAACAAACTATCAACCTTGCAGGAGAATGCATGTTTTTCAAATAAGCAATGCCATGCATATGGCTGGCTTTCTGTGTAATTCTCCAAAGCCTAGTTTACCAGCTAAATAATTGAGCTTTCTGGTTCTGGACTTTCAGAAACCTGAGGACCAGAGGGTTGTTTCTATGGGTAAACGCATCTGAATTTCAAACACAAAAAGTTAAATTTTCTATTCCACAAGTTATCCACTGCAACCTTAAAGCAAGGCTTGATTCCTAAGTTTGCAAAAAACAAAATACAAAGAAAAAAAATCAAGAAGCATTACATAAATCTTGCATAAAAATAAATAATATAACAACACAGAATCTTTTTTTCTGTTTTGTTTTTGAGACGGAGTTTCACTCTTGTTCCCCAGGCTGGAGTGTAATGGCGTGATCTCGGCTCACCGCAACCTCCGCCTCCTGGGTTCAGGCAATTCTCCTGCCTCAGCCTCCCGAGTAGCTGGGATTACAGGCACGCGCCACCATGCCCAGCTAATATTTTGTATTTTTAGTAGAGATGGGGTTTCACCATGTGGACCAGGATGGTCTCGATCTTTTGACCTTGTGATCCACCCGCCTCGGCCTCCCAAAGTGCTGGGATTACAGGCTTGAGCCACCGCACCCGGCCTTTTTTTTTTTTTTTTTTTTTGAGAAAGGGTCTCACTCTGTCACTCAGGCTGGAGTGCAGTGGCATGATCTCAGCTTACTACAACCTCCACCTCCCGGGATCAATCAATTCTCCTGCCTCAGCCTCCAGAGTACCTGGGATTACAGGCACCCACCACCATGCCTGGCTGATTTTTGTATTTTTAGTAGAGACAGGGTTTCAAATGTTGGCCAGGCTGCTCTGGAATTCCTGACCTCGGGTGATCCACCTTCCTCAGCCTTTCAAAGTGCTGGGATTACAGGCGTGAGCCAACACCTGACCAATAACACAGAATTTTACATCTAGAAGAGATGTTATGTTAGAGATGATCTCAAACAACCCTTTACTTTTAATGTTAATCCTGTACAGTGAGAATCACCAATACATGTCTGAGTTCAATCAACTGAGAAAATAAAAATCGGGACATTGTTAGACTACCTATCAGGTATACAGAATGCTCTTTTTTTTTTTTTTGAGACAGAGTCTCGCTCTGTCATCCAGGCTGGAGTGCAGTGGTGCAATCTTGGCTCACTGCAACCTCCTCCTCCCGAGTTCAAGCAATTCCCTGCCTCAGCCTTCACAGTAGCTGGGATTACAGGTGTGCACTACCATGCCCAGCTAATTTTTTTGTATTTTAGCGAAGACGGTATTTCACCATCTTGGCCAGGCTGGTCTTGCACTCGTGACCTCGTGATCCTCCCGTCTCGGCTTCCCAAAGTGCTAGGATTACAGGTGTGAGACTTTTTGTTTTTTTTTAGACAGAGTCTTACTCTGTCATTAAGCTGGAGTGCAGTGGCGTGATCTCAGCTCACTGCAACCTCCACCTCCCAAGTTCAAGCAATTCCCCTGCTTCAGCCTCCTAAGTAGCTGGGACTATAGGCATGTGCCAGCATGCCCAGCTAATTTTTTGTATTGTAATAGAGATGGGGTTTTATCATGTTGGCCAGGATGGTCTGGATCTCCTGATCTTGTGATCCACTTGCCTCGTCCTCCCAAAGTGCCAGGATTATAGGCATGAGCCACCGTGCCCAGTTATAACACTTTTTAATATATATTTAATATAATACACATATTAAATAATGCTCCATTTAATATAGATCCTATGGGCAACAGAGGATCTATAAGGCAACGATTTTTTCCCCTCCATTCAGAATTAAGAATTCAATCATGGGCCTCTGGGAATTGAAGTTTCTGTGGAGTATCGTAGCCAATGAGGTTTATCCGAGGCGCGATTATTGCTAATTGAAGTTTCTGTGGAAGGAAGCGGGAGCGGTAACCAGGCCAACCCAAGAAGGCTTTTTTTCTTAGCTTTCACTTCCCTGTAAACTCTTCAGCTCGTTGTTTTTCAGAGGTACCAAATAATGTCATCTGAAATGTTGCCAGCATTTATTGAAACTTCTAACGTTGACAAAAAGCAAGGCTTAAATGAAGATCAAGAGGAGAGCCAGAAGCCAAGATTAGGTGAAGGATCGGAACCAATATCTAAAAGGCAAATGAAAAAACTAATAAAACGGAAACAATGGGAAGAACAACGGGAACTCCACAAACAAAAGCAGAAGGAAAAACGCAAGAGGAAGAAATTGCAGCGACAATGTCAAGTGGAATCACACTCAGATGGAAATGACAGAAAACGTGTTCGAAGAGATGTTCACAGCACCCTTCGCCTTATCATTGACTGTAGTTTTGACGACTTAATGGTATTAAAGGACATTAAGAAACTTCATAAGCAAATTCAACTTCATAAGCAAATTCAACAGAAAACCGACGGGCACTGCATCCTGTGCAGCTTTACTTGACAAGCCATGGAGGCCAGCTGAAAAAGAACATGGATGAAAATGACAAAGGATGGGTCAACTGGAAGGATATCCATATCAAACCAGAGCACTATAGTGAACTCATAAAAAAAGAAGACCTGATTTATCTTACATCAGATTCACCTAATATACTGAAGGAATTAGATGAATCAAAGGCCTATGTGATTGGAGGATTAGTAGATCACAACCATCGCAAGGGAGTCACATATAAACAAGCATCGGATTATGGAATCAATCATACACAGCTCCCACTTGGAAATTTTGCGAAGATGAATAGTCGAAAAGTTTTGGCTGTTAATCGTGTGTTTGAGATTATTCTGGAATACCTGGAAACAAGAGACTGGCAAGAAGCATTTTTTACTATCTTGCCCCAGCGGAAAGGAGCTGTTCCCACAGACAAAGCCTGTGAAAGTTCTTCTCATGACAAGCAGTCTGTCAGAGTGGAGGAAGGTAGATCGGACAGTGATTCCAGTGAGGAGGAATGTAACAGAAATGAACCAGATTCCCCACATGAAGAAAAGCAGGATCAGGAAAATCACACTGAATCTACAGTCAACTCTCCGCCACACTAATATTACCTGGTTTCCTTTTAGTTTAAGGAAAAATTAGGAGAAGGTGAGGTACTATACAGAATATTGAAATTGGAAGAAAATTTTATTTTCTCTTATTTCTGTTGTGAATTTTTAAACGTTTTTTTTAGCTAAATGATCATTAAAAAGCCCATTAAACTTTGTAAGAAAATATTTTTTGATTTTGCATAACATTTAAATGTGTGTGTGGTTTTTTTTTGGGTTTAAAGCCTCAAATAGTAGTTTCTAGATAATTTTACTTTATTAGTATATTTTCATTTTCTTTCATTTTATATTCTTTAGAATGCGCCTTCTGACTTTTCAGTTTTATTATTTTATAGTCCTGTCAACATCTTTATGATCTATTGTCTACATACCTGTGAGGACACATATTCATAAATATACTGTCAATCTATCAGAATGTTGTGTATGGTAGGTTCCCCTCTATTTGCAGCTTTTATGTTTAACTTAGTTATTTGAAAGAAATGTAGTAATTTTAGGAAGAAGTAGCAGTATGATAGACATAATAATTCATTTCTTTTGGACTGTGGAGTGCATATCCGTTCCTTCTTTGTGATGCCTTTTTGTGGTTCTGAAGTAATTACTAAAGAGTTGAGAATCTCTTTAATTAATTTGTTTAGTTCTTACAATGGTGATAAGTTACTTCAATTATAAAATTGAATTTTGCAGAATTATTTTATAATGCTGTTGCTATTAAAAGATCAATTTTGCCTTTTAAAAAAAAAGAATTCAATCATCCCAAATGGCAATGTGAGCATATTTTAAAACAGTTTAGAAGCTATCTTCTCTATCATTGCTTACACCAATGCCACCATCTTAAATTTAAATAGTTCTGACTGCTAAGGAATCTCAACACATTACAGTCACACATTCCCATGCATACAAATCCTAAATTTGAACATATGCCCCAGCACTTGGGCAAGTCATTTAGTATTCCCAAAGCAGTTTCTTCATCTGTAAAATGGACATAGCCTACCTTCACAAGGATACAAAGACTGAACCAAATGATGTGAAAACATGCTTGATAAAAGTACTGATACATATAAATGCTTGTTATGACTGCAAGAGCTCCAAATTCCTACATTTCATTAAAAGAAAGAATTTTGTTCCAGATGTTCCAGATGTTTGTTCAGATGTAGAAACTGGACTACAGTTGCTGAGCTGGCATTACATACTTTAAAACCAAACAAGTTTCCAGGGACTTTTCTACCTAAAGTTCCTTCTAGGGAAGTATAATAAGATGTGAAAACTTAGGTATCTTCATTTTACCATTTTTACAGGTGGAACATACACTTTCTTTTCTTTCCTTTCCTTTTTCTTGAAACTTTTAGACAGGGTCTCACTGTCACCCAGGCTGGTGTGCAGTGGCATGATCTTGGCTCAATGCAACCTCTGCCTGCTGCATTTAATAGATCCTCCTGCTTCAGCCACCTGAGTAGCTGGGATTCTAGGCATGCGTGACCATGTCCAGCTAATTTTTGCATTTTTAGTAGAGATGGGGTTTCTCCATGCTAGCCAGGCTGGTCTCGAACTCCTGACCTCAAGTGATCCACCCACCTTGGCTTCCCAAAGCGCTGGGATTAGAGACTGCACCTGGCCTATGGAGGATACACTTTCCACATTCCTCTCAAGGGCAGGAATAGTAACTTAGCCATCATTTTAGCTGCAGTAACTGAACAGAGACTGTCTCTGTGTTTAATAAATATTCATCAGAATATACTTTCCCAGAACGAAGTAAAACTTCTGTAAAATATATGTGAGGTGGAAAGACCTCTGGTAGTGGAGTAGACATTTGCTCTCATGCCATGTATTACCTTACAAGTTCCTCAAGCATCCTGAGGCTTCATTTCCCTTTAAAATATCTATCCTGTCAGTAACGTCCCTTTTATCTGATGTCAGACGTCCGTCCACCCAGAATACTGCAAATAAGGCCTTTGACTAACAAAAATAAAACAATTCTAATGAAGTCCATGCATGCACTTTACCCATAGTAGAAGCCTACTGATTCTTAAGTGTGTGTGTCTATTTGAGACAGGGTCATGCTCTGTCACCTAGGCGGGAGGGCAGTGGCGCAATCACAACTCACTGCAGCCTCGATCTTCCAGGCTCAACCCAGCCTCCTACCTTAGCCTCCGAAGGAGCTAGGACAACAGGCACATACCACCACCCCTGGCTAATTTATTAACATTTTTATTTTGTAGAGACTGGATCTCCCAGGCTGGTCTTGAATTCCTGGGCTCACATGATCCTCCTGCCTTGGCCTCCCAAAGTGCTGGAATTATAAGCATGGACGCTGTGCTTGGATTGTTTTAAGAACGTTACTAATAAACTGTTACCTGGTTATATTTCCCACTGGTGGTTAAAAGCACTAGGATAAGATAGAGCAGACGTCCAAGGAAAGAGAAACTGGAGACCCCTAAAGGTTTCTCTTGCTGATACATGAAGTAGAACCAAACCTTTCCAAAAAGGTAGATCCGATTCAATCTAAAAAACACTTGACAAAATATTAGGCGGACTCCATCTCTTATTTCAAAATTACAGTCAACCTGGGATTAATTTAATCCTATCTTTAATTACAGTCAAAGATTTAATGGTCAGCAAATACTTCATTTTAATGCTATCCACTGCTATCCTACTCATAACACTGGAAAAAATGATAAGCCCTCTTTCATGGTTCACTTTTCCTTATTCAAATAATGTGCTCACTATTCCTCATTTTTTACTGCATGACAGTAATGAGTTGCAATGGAAATGTCATCCAATTTTAACCCAAATTGGAATTATCTAAGAGCATTTTACTTACAGAGATAAAATGGGTTATTTTACAGAATTCATTTTACCCTCAATAATGCTAATATGCTTTACAGAAGGACAATGTTACTATTTGCTAACTACAGGTAATCAGCTACTTCAAGGTAGCGACCATGTTTGCTCATTATGATCATTAAAGCACACAACAGAACACCACAGCCATCAGAATAATTAATATTCCTGAGATTGGACCTGGAGTGGTGGCTCATGCCTGTCATCCCAGCACTTTGGGAAGCCAAGGCAGGTAATCACGAGGTCAGGAGTTCGAGACCAGCCTGGCCAATATGGTGAAATCCCCATCTCTACTAAAAATACAAAAATTAGCCAGGTGTGGTGGCAGGCACGTGTAATCTCAGCTACTCAGGAGGCTGAGGCACAAGAATAGCTTGAACCAGGGAGGTGGAGGTTGCAGTGAGCCAAGACCCCACCATTGCACTCCAGCCTGGGCAACACAGCAAGGCAATGTCTCAAAAAATTTTTTTTCTAAGATTCTCCTGAAAAGACTCTCATGTATTGCTAATAGGAGTCCAAATGCAAATGCATATAAGTCTTTTGGAAAGTTATTTACGTTTTTAAGAATCTTGAGCAAACCTGGTTTATGCACTAGATGGATATATGTGAGAAACTAATGTTTAATAAATCTCAGGATAAGAATTGTATATTTAAAAAATCAAAAACAGAACAAAAATAATTGTGTATTGAATGTGATTACAATTTCTTTTTAAGAAACTGCATTGGAAACAAAGGCTGGAAAGAAATGTTAGCAGTATTTGTAGTTGGGTAAGGAGGCTATGGCTGTTTTCTTTTCTCTGTATGCTAAATTTTAAGTATGTATTAGTTTTACAATCAAACACAGAAAGAAAGATGAAGGAAGAAAAGGAGGGAGGGAAGGGGAAGGAGCGCTGCTTAAAGGTTAAGAAAATAGCCTATTTAGACCAGGTGATTATCATTTAGTTAAAAGCTATAACTAAGCTTTTACCCTAGCAAGGAACTTTCTAAGTGATCACAAATGATAACGAACTCATATATTTGCACTGAAGGGGTATCTTACCTAATTGTCATTTGACAGGTTTAGCAAAGAAATTATAATTGTACAATGCTTTAGAGTTTACAAAGTGCATTCAAAATGTCACATCATCTGTCCTTCAAATATTCCTGAAATGGGCTCATATGCTCCATTTTAAGGTTCAGGTAATTGAGGGTTACGGAGAGAGTGATATGCCTTAATAATAATGTCTATCGTTTATCAAATGTTTACTATGTGCCAGACCCTGGGTTAAGTACAATCTTGTGAAAATTAGTCCTATGTTATAGACAGAAAAAGTGAAGGGGCCAGGCGCGGTGCTCACACCTGGAATCCCAGCACTTTGAGAGGCCAAGGCAGGCAGATCACTTGAGCCCAGGAGTTGTACATCAGCCTGGGCAACGTGGCCAAATCCCGTGAGATGGGGAGAGGGGGCGGGCAATTAGCCGGGAGTGGTGGCACCTGCCGGCAGTCCTAGCTACTCGGGAGACTGGGGTGGAAGGATGCCTTGAGCCCGGGAGGCAGAGGTTGTAGTGAGCAGAGACAACGCCACTGCACTCCAGCCTGGGCAGCAGAGTGAGACCCTGTATTTAAAAAAAAAAAAAGAGAGAGAGAGTAAGCAAAAAGAGAAAGTGAAGGGTAGCTAGGTAGCCACATTGGCTCAAGCCCGTAATCTCAGCACTTTAGAAGCCCAAGACGGGAGGATCGTTTGAAACCAGGAGTTGGAGACCAGCCTGAGCAACATAGCGAGACCTTAGCTCTACCAAAAAAAAAAAAAATAAATAAATAAATAAACAATAAAAATTAGCCAAGCTTCGTAGTGTGAGCCTGTAGTCCCAGATACTTGCGAGGCTGAAGCAGGAGGATCACTTGAGTTCAGGAGTTCGAGGCTGAAGTGAGCTATGATTGCATCACTGCACTCCAGCTTGGGCGAGCAAGATCCCGTCTCTTAAAAAAAAGAAAAAAAAAAAAAGAAAAAAGGAAAGGCAGAGAGGTTAGGTGACTCGCTCAAGATCATACAGCTAAGTCACTGCTCTGATTCTAAACCTTACACTTAAAACAGAAGTCTTGAGTTACATATAATTCAACTTCACAGAGCCCTTTAGTGGTAGAGTTGGCTTACAATCCAGTCCCATGTTCTCTCTTCAAAGAGTTACTAAGTCCGACAGCCATTATGAGGGTCTATAAGCAAAGGCACTAGGCCCAATTATACTCAAAAACTGCTGTTGGCAGAGAGCCCACGCCTCAGAAGAAAAGCGTGAATAACGAGAGCGGAGGGGACAAAGCTAACAAGTCTTATAATGTACACATAAAGATGTAGCCAAGAACTCGGAGGAAACACTCACTACTGGAGCAGCAAGGATAGCAACAAACATCACGATATCAACAATTCCAGCACCTTACACTCCTGTAACCTAGCGCAATTTCCAGAGAGCCTTCAGGTTCATCTCAACGGATCCTCGCAAAAACCAGCGGGCTGGGCCGGGCAGGGCAGACCGGGAATCAGTCTCACTTCACACGAGAAACCGAAAGCAACGCGGAAGAGAGCCGGGTGGGCAGAAAAGCACGAGTTTAAGAGCTAAGGGCAGCCACCTGGGGAGACTGGGCGCCTAGACCGAGTGGAGGAAGAGCACAGGGCCCACGGCGGTGACAAGGCCCACAGAGGCCATGGTGCTCCGGCCGCCGGCCGCCGAGGCTCAGGGGCCTTGGAGGTCGGTCCAGGCGCCTATCTACTCACGTTGGACCAGCCGGTCCCCAGAGAAGGTGGAGGAGCAGCTAGTGACCAGCGCACAGGGTACGCCCGCAGCCATTGCTGCGTTCGCGAGCCGGTTCCTTCAGGCAGCCGCTTCCGCCTTGGGCTGCACCACGGCCGCCGGCGCGAGGGGGAGACACGCCGGGGACGGCGTTCTCGGAATGACTAGGCTGGCCTGACCCCGCCCCCACCCCCCTGCCGCTCCCAGCGTGGAACAGGCCGGGCCGCGCGTGGTGTTGCCATGGGGATCAGAGCCCGTGGCTGAAGGTTTCCGCGCTTGGAGACCGGGCCTCCGCGGAGGGAGCAGTTCCCTCTGCCCTAGCCATGGCTCAGAACATTGAAAACCACGACCCTGTCGGATCCATCTTAATCCAGGTGGGAAACGGGCCCTCCCCGGCTCTGCCCAGCCGCGCCACTTCCGAGCGAGGCCCGGCGCGTCGATTTGCCGGCGCCCACCCACTTGGGGCCCCGTCCCTAGACTGCGTCCAACACGCGAGAGCCTCCCAAAAATGCCCACCCTGACCTTCCCCCATGGTCCAGCACACTCCCGGTGACTTACCCTGGAGGTTACGCCCCAGAAGCACGATATTCTGCCTCTGGGAAAACTCTCAAACCGTTCACCCGGAACTTTAACTTCAGAAAAATTCACCTCACGCTGAAGCACTTTTTTTTTTTTTTTTTTTTGGGGAGACGGAGTTTCGCTCTTGTTGCCCAGGCTGGAGTGCAACGGCACGATCTCGGCTCACCGCAACCTCCGCCTCCCGGGTTCAGGCGATTCTCCTGCCTCAGCCTCCTGAGTAGCTGGGACTACAGGCGCGTGGCACCATGCCAAGCTAAATTTTGTGTTTTTTAGTAGAGACGGGGTTTCACCATATTGACCAGGCTGGTCTCGAACTCCCGACCTCGTGATGCGCCCTCTTTGGCCTCCCAGAGTACTGGGATTACAGGTGTGAAAGAGCTTTTTAATATGAGAGGGAAAATGTCAAGAAAGCCTTGACTTTACCAATATATTGCTCAACAGTTGCACTCAGGTGTTTCTGAGATGGTTGTAGTATTTTGTTTTCACATTTACGTGTGGTAGCCTTAAGATATTTCCACAAATATCATGAGTTTTAACTATCACATATATAACAGCTGCATTTGACTAAGTTGTTGATAAATGTTGTTTATGAATATTAATGTTGAGAAATATTACGTTTATGAATATTGATGAATGCTGAGGGTGCGATAGAATACATTGTTTGCTAGGAAGAATGATGGTAAGGAAAACCTAGCCACCCCCATCCCCAAGTAGCAAACTACTTGGGGCATTCCAAAGTGGCAGGACAATATATAAATGTCATACACCTGTGGAAACAATTCTTTAAGCTATCTGACCCTGCCCCCATGGCTCCCTTGTGGAGAATACTTTTTAGAATGTTTTTTTGTTTGTGATCAATGGTAAGTGGGCACCAGCTGACTACTTGGCGTGTTTTGTGTTAAGAGAAAATACCAAACACCTGTTAATAATGATCACCTGTTCAGAGAGAAGAAATGCATGGGTCAGCGTCTACTCGGGGCTTTCTGCCTGGAATGCTGTCAGCCCCTGGGGTTCTCAGTTTCGAAGGCTCCTGGCCCCTAGGATACACCCACTTGGCTGTTCTATCTGGGTGTCTGCCTCTCACTTCCTTCAGTGCTACCTGGGTGGGGGTCTGTGCGAGCTAGTACTCAGTACTAAGTCTTGAAGTCGTTTGCCTGAGGTCACTCTATCAGAACTGTCACTCAGTACGTCTGAAGTGGATCTTGCTCTTCTAACAGATGTAATTTTTCGGTCAGAATTTTGATCTCTTAACTCCCATCTAGGAGAGATTTCCCCTAAATCTACCTTCTCCCAAATACAAGCCCCTGAACTCACCAATTTCATAGACTTCCCCATTAAGAAGCATACCTAAATCTTTCCTGATCTTTTATCACCATCACCTGGCAATGATTTTAGCCAAACTGCAAAGTCTGAGGGAATAGTCCCCACAACACTGCCCTAACTTCAACACTACCTGCAAGTTCCAGGGTCCCCAGCACCACCTCACTTCAGACCAGCTTTGTACAAATTTAGGGGCCCCACTGCCACCCTCACATTCAATGATTCACTAGAACTATTCATAGAACTCAGGAAAGTGCTGTGCTCAGGCTTCCAGTTTTATTATAGGGAAAGCATCCAAATTAGCCAAAGGAAGAGATGTATAGCATGGGGTCTAGGAGGGTTCCAAACACAGAGCTTTTGGTCGTCTTATCCCTGTGGAGTCATGGATGTCCTTACCTGCATTACTTCCTTCCAGCCACAATATGTGGCAATATGCATAGAATGTTGCAACTAGACAACCTTCTATAAGGCTTTGGTGTCCAGAGTTTTTACGAGGGCTTAATATCACACTGCCCTCATGGCTGACTATTGATCTCCAGCCCTTCCTGGATACTTTTATTCTCCCACTGCTCCAGAGGTTTGAACTGATAACAGCATGGATCAAAACACCCATTATAAATCATGTTGTTGCACTGTCTGGTGGCCAAAGCTCACAAAGACACGTCTATCAGGCAGGACATCCTGGGGCCTAGAGATAACCACCCAGTAGCCAAAGGCAAAGACTGGACCCCTCTTTGGGTAAGGTTAATTCTTTGCTGCACGTACCCCTCTTTTTATAGATTCCAAATAATTAGAATAGTGGAGACTGCTACCTAGGATACAGCATTAGAGTAATAGACAACTGTTGACACCGAATTGTGAAATGGGTCAGAAGACCTAACAGTTACATCCATGTTGACCTGCACCCCTACTTGTTTAAAGGATTACTGTGGACATACTAAGTAAAGGGCTTATGTAGAGGAAGACAGCCTACATGTAGTTAACCGGATTATTAAGGCTGATTTCTATATAGTATAAAATTCTATTCTCTACATGTAGAATATGTATAGTGAGGAAATTTGGAAGACTTTACCTACTTTCCCAGTGAATCCTGAAAATTTGTGAGTATGTAACACCACCCAAATGTGCCAAGATGGATTCTACTTCTACTTGAGGCTATGATTTATTTCCCTCAGACAGGCTACCAATAATTAGTATGTCTAGTGGAAAGCGCTTGAGGGGAAGTCAGAATGCTAAGATCTGACCATGCCTTTGACATTCTCACAAGTAGTGACTTTGAGCTAGTCACCTCACCTCTCTGGACCTCACTTTCTTCTTTCATAGGACGTATAATTTGGATTAGATCCACTTCTGACTCCAAATTCTCCCAGTTTCCCCAAAGCTACATAATTTAATGTAAAAGTAGACTTTCTTTGTGGTTAGCCTAGGCAATCAAATTGTTTCTGGCAAGTCCGTGAGTGAATGTGTGTGCATATGTGCGCGGGCAATAGACTGTAAAGCAGAGGTACTTTAAATTTCTACTTGTTTCACCCTAATACGGTCAGTTAGGTGTGTGTTTCAATCTGATATATGAAACAGCTTTTTAGACCAGTGGTTCTCAAAGATGTTGTAGGTATTATTTTTTAGCCCCAGTTTACAGAAGACACTAAGGTACAAAGAAGTAAAGCATCTTGCCCATGAATACATCCAATATGTATTGATCCTTAAATAGGCTATGGCATGTTTATGACGTAATCTTGCAGAAGTGTGGTCATGACTCTGGCATGTTTCCAATAATGCTTTGTAACTCTTAGAAGCTTTGTTTTTATGCTTCATTAAAATGTGGTGTCTTTTTAATATATCTTTATAAATGCTTGCTTGACTCAAATATTAAACACGTTTGTGTAACAAGTATTACCTGACCTTATGATTCAAAATTAGCTTTTTAGTTAAAATCCAATTGCGTGTTAACACAAAAATCCAGCAATTGTGTGTTTACCCTGATCTTGGAAATCGGGAAGCTCAGTTAACAGTTTGCTATTTTCATTGTCTTTCTTATCAACCACTCTGATTTGTCAGGTGCATACAATATAAAAATGAATGAAGTTAGCCAGGTGTGGTGGTTCATGCCTGTATTCCCAGAACTCTGGGAGGCCAAGGTGGGCAGATCACCTGAGGTCAGGAGGTCAGGAGTTCAAGACCAGCCTGGTCAACATGGCAAAGCCCCCATCCCTAGTAAAAAATGTAAAAATTAGGCAGGCATGGTGGCAGGCCCCTGTAATCCCAGCTACTTGGGAGGCCAAGGCAGGGAGACTTACTTGAACCCAGGAGGCTGAGGTTGCAGTAAGCCGAGATTGCGCCTCTGCACTCCAGCGTGGGCAACACTGTGAGACTCCATGTCAAAAAAAAAAAAAAAAAAAAAATGAAATTAAAAATAATTGAGGTGATGAGAATAACTCAGCCAAACTCTATCTTTAGCAGAGATGAAGCAAATGGAATTTTATATGGCTTTTGACAATATAGAGTCTGGTTTTGTGGCTCTTGTAAATTCTAGAGCAAATCTTTGCTGCATTAAATCTTTCAAGGACTACTCATTAAGTAGCTCTGTCCCCAAATTGTCAAAATAACAATCTTTCTCCAAGTAGAAAATTTATGGAAAGAATGGTGTTTCATGATCACAGAGATGATGGATGAGGTGTAAAATTTCAATATGGTAGATTGGATCTGTTGGAAGAAAGAACAGAGATTTAGAACTCACTATCTTTTTCTACCCAAGTCTAGTGTAACTCTTTCTGTAATACTTGTCTCTATTGCAATTATACAAACAGGTGGGTGGTTGTTAAGAGGGGAGGAGGAAATATCTAGCAAGAAAAGGAAAAACTTGAGAAAGAATAGGGAGCAGTTCAGTTAACATTTAAGGAGTATCAGCTATAGTGTGAGGAGATTCACTAGGTTTTACACTTCAGAAAAGGAGAATTAACATTTGTTCAGTTCCCCCCCCCATGTGCTTAGCACTGTATAAAGTACTTATATTTTTACTCATTTTACTCTTACAACTATTCAGAGTTAGCTATTATTATTCCCATTTTACAGATGAGAACACTAAGCCTCTAAGAGGCTAAGTAACTTTCCCAAGTTCAGTTTAGTAAAGAAGACAGCAGGATTCCAGTTCATGTCTGTCAGCACCGAAGCCTATATTGATTCATTTTCATGCGTATTACCTTGTTTTCATTCAACAATTTTAGGTAAGGCAATTCTTATTTATTCTGGACAAAGAAATTAGAAATTCAGAAAATTTGGTTGCCGGGCGCGGTGGCTCAAGCCTGTAATCCCAGCACTTTGGGAGGCCGAGGCGGGTGGATCACGAGGTCGAGAGATCGAGACCATCCTGGTCAACATGGTGAAACCCCGTCTCTACTAAAGATACAAAAAATTAGCTGGGCATGGTGGCACGTGCCTGTAATCCCAGCTACTCAGGAGGCTGAGGCAGGAGAATTGCCTGAACCCAGGAGGCGGAGGTTGCGGTGAGCCGAGATCGCGCCATTGCACTCCAGCCTGGGTAACAAGGGCGAAACTCCGTCTCAAAAAAAAAAAAAAAAGAAATTCAGAAAATTTGGATATATGTGGAAATCATGTGACTAATAGGTGATAAAGCTAGGAATTATGAGTTTTATTGAGTTCTTGCTATGTACCAAGCCTATTACATACTATCTTAAAGTTTTATCTTAAATCTATTTCTTACGGATTTAAGAAGAAAAAACAGAAATAATATGAATGCATCATTTTTCACAATCTGAGAGACAACTCTGTGAAGAAGTATCTTTGTCCACACCAGGTGGGTAGGGGGAAAAAAACACCTTTGGTACAGTTTTCTCTCCCTCTAGTAGCTGATAGATGTAATTGCAGAAAGATACATGGAGCTGCAGATACTAGAATAGGGAAAGTCAGTACATTCAAAGGAGGAACCAAAAAAAATGCAGGCCTAGAAAGGCCTTGCCCTTGAACTGCCTCTCTGTACTTTCCAAATATTTTCAGACACTAGATGGCAAATCAGCTTGCAGCAGTAATTTGGATAAAACAATAGAAAAAAGTACATCTTTATCCTTAGTGCTTACAAGCAAGCAGTAGGTGTGGTGAAATTTCGATCTGTGAGTTCTGAAGGCCTTACATGACAATTTGTGCAGAGTTCAAATAACCAGATGTATCAGCCAGACTGTGATGCCCATCAGTGAAACGATGTAAATTCTGATCTTTTGAATACTTGGCTCCATGGGAACATTTGAGAATAATCACTAACACAGGCTGGATCAGTGTTGAGTCCAGTTATACCAGCAGAAAAAGTACCTTCTTCAAAATGCCTTTAGCAACCCAGTTTGCAGATTGTTATTGGTGTGACTGTTGCTGAAACAGGTGTTGGGTTCATAAATTTGCATAACAAAGTGTTTTTCTTGTGGCAGCAGCCCATACAATAATTGGTGCCATCTGTATTTATCTGAAGTTTGGTTTTTAATATGAATGCAGAGAATCTTGTGCTTCCTAATTTCATAGTGCCCATTTTATTCTAAGGGTGCCTGATGTTGGAGAGATGTTCATCATTTCCAAGGAAAATACAAATTGAAGGAAAAATGTTTAATAACATATGCTCCTTTTTCTTCAGGGATAATTTTCATTTCTCACTACATAAACCAAAATCAAGGTCACAACACCTAACGAACTACTTCTTCAGAGCAGTAAGTGGGGAAGACCCAGCCTAGGATGGAAAACCAACAGGCGCTGACAACACATTTACAATACTTTTTTGAAAGACATTGGTTCTGCTACAGCTTCTTTGCTGGCAGTTTGTTTTCCTTCCTCTTAACCAATTTGTAGAAATTGGAATTTGGCACAAACCTCTTATTATCTCAGACTCAGCTCTTTTACCACTTAATAAAGCAGAAACCGGGATGGGTGCGGTGGCTCATTCCTGTAATCCCTAGCACTTTGGGAGGCCGAGGTGGGTGGATTGCCCGAGCTCAGGAGTTCGTGACCAGCCTGGGCAACACGGTGAAACCCTGTCTCTACTAAAATACAAAAAAATTAGCCCAGTATGGTAGCATGTGCCTGTAATCCTAGCTAATTGGGAGGCTGAGACAGGAGAATTGCTTGAACCCAGGAGTTGGAGGTTGCAGTGAGCCGAAATCCTGCCACTGCACTCCAGCCTGGGCAGCAGAGCGAGACTTCATCTCAAAAAAAAAAAAAAAAAAAAGAAAAAGGAAAGTAGAAACCATTTGAGTTGTAGTTTTATCTCAAATCTATTTCTAATGGGAGAAGGAAAAACAGAAATAATATGAAAGCATCGTTTTTCACAATCTGAGAGACAATCACAGAGCATTCTCAATAAAGAATATCTTAGATGCATAAAGGTGGTCCTTTTCAATGAATACCATAAAATCAGCTTTATGGCTCTACCAATTCAAGTACATTACAAACCTAAATATCTGCCATAGATGGACTATGAATTCTTTCAGTATTTTTCATTTTTATACCTATAGGTCCATGAAGACCTTTATCAGTTAAAGGAGAAATTAACAAAATTCTCACTTGAGGAAAAAGGAGAGACTCTAGACATTCAGAGTCTTGAAACAGCAATCAAAAGGACTGAAACGGGCTTAAGAGTAAGTAGAGCTTGAGATATTAAATAAAATACTGGAAGGAGACAAAGCATCCTCTAGAAGAAAAGAATTGTGGTTCTCATAGGACCCTGAGTAATTCTGTACAAAGCTGAATTTAGGATGGTCCTCAGCATTCTTATTTTGTTATTTGTTCTCATCGTAATTATTAACTGACTGATTTATATTGTCATAGTTGACAAATAATTTAAGTAGGTTAAATGTAAGACTATGCAATGACAACTCCTAAAATGTGGTTTTATAAAAATAACTTGGAGTATGAAAAATAATTACTGTCACTTGATCTTAGCCAAAAGGCCAAGAAGTGATGAAAAATAATTACTGTTAATCCAACAATATGCCTGATTAAAATATTGTAGATTTTCTGGGATTTACTGAGATTCTAAAAGATAAGAGTTGGCTGGGCACAGTGGCACACGCCTGTAACCAGCACTTTGGGAGGACAAGGCGGACAGATCACTTGAGTCCAGGAGTTTGAGATCAGCCTGGGAAACATAGCGAAACCCTGTTGCTACAAAAAAATTTCTTTAAAAATTACCCAGGCATGGTGGCACATGCTTGTAGTCCCAGCTACTCAGGAGGCTGAGGTGGGAGGACCGCTTGAGCCCAGGAAATTGAGGCTGCAGTGAGCTTTGATTGCCCCACTGCACTTTAGCCTGGGCTGCAGAGTAAGATGCTGTCTCAAAAAAAATGAAAAAAGTAAATAAAAAATAAGAGTTGACTTTCTCCTGATAGCCTAAGTATTTTGAGTTATTTATTTTTATAATGTTATAATCAAGTGGGTAAAACTAAAGAAATATACCAGTATTGGACCAGAGAAATAAAGTAGATAGGAACTTCATCATTACACACAGATCTAAGGTCAGGGGAAAATCCAGTCTTCAGACAAGGATAAAGCAAGCTAATGGGTTATATAACAAGCTGGTGAGTTCCATCTGCTAAATAAGGTCCATCTCCACCTTCTAGACTTCTTATTTTCAGTGTCTCTGCTCTTGATTCAGACTTTTACTCTGCTATGCCGCTTCATCTCTCAGCTCCCAAGGCTGTGAGAAATGTGGTGTATTTTGTAGCACGTCATTGTCATATTACCTGATGGTGAGAGGGCTGGACCCAGATGGAGTCTTTGGATTGGCCCATTTAAATAATGTTACCTAAAGACCAAATGCTTTCTTGGATTCTTGCTTGAAGCCCCTCTAAGAGAGACATTACTCCATGTCTGTATTGCCTAGTAGATTTACCTGGCTAAAACTTTACTGATTATTGTGTGCAGTTTTATTTGTGAAGAGTGCCATAGAGGCTGGGCAATATAGGGAGACCCTGTCTACAAAAAATAAATTAGCCAGGCATGGTGGCATGTGTCTGTGGTCCCAGCTGCTCAGGAGGCTGTGGTGGGAGGATTCCTTGAGCCGAGGAGGTCAAGGCTACAGTGAGCCATTATCATACTACTGCCCTCTATCCTGGGCAACAGAGCAAGACCCTGTCAAAAAAAAAAAAAAAAAATGTGCCACAGGTCACTCAAGCTTTGAGTCTCAGTTGTTTATTCTGCTTTTTGGGGTGGTTGAGGTAATTTGGCCTTGAGATGCCTAATAATACATTAAGCATATAATACATAGTATCTTGTGGTTTTGGCTTAATTACAGGATTCATGGTGTTAACTTAATGAAATGAAACAAATTAGCTGAGTATCTTAAGTCCACAATAATTGCTTAAACTTTGACATTTCTGTAACAGATTCACATTGAGAAATATTTAAATGTTGTAAACCAGAATGTATTAACGACTTCTGTTGATGAGGAGACCTTCGATACTCCCCAGGCTTCCAAATGGTAAGTAAAATGGCCATTTCGAGCCAGAAGTAAATAAAATTGAGAAATAACTTTTCTCACTCAAGTGAGTTGACTGTAAATATAGGCAAAATTTTCTTGTCTTTGTTCACATCCTTTCTATTAATTTCAGTAGAGATTTTGCATAAGAAGTTAGTGGTAGATCAAGACAGTGAACCATTGTTGAGGTGGGGGATACATTAAAACCAAAACTTCACCACTAGCAGTATATATGGAACAGAATTATAATTATACCCCTCAATTTTATGCAAATTTAAAAATAAGTTAATGGTGGAATTTAGACTTCAGTGAAGTGTATTATAGATTATTTTTATTGAGTTCTAATGCTTGACACTATAATAATTATTTCAGTGTTGTAGATTTTGCTGTTACTCTTTGTTGTTGTTTTATAGTGAAAGGTATCTAAAATTTAACTTTTAAAGGAAACAATAGAAATCAGTTTTCGCACTATTTAGATCACATGGTACTTTATGGTTTCCAGAATGTCTTATGGGCTTGATTATACAGATAATTTTGGTATCCAGGGTAAATAAAACAAAAATAAAACTTGCTTGAAATATCTATTATGTGCATCCTAAGAGATGATTTATTAAAATTAGAGTTGAGTTAAAAATAAATGGCCTTGCCTTACCTTCAGACTTTTTACCTACAGGCCTGAATTTCAATGAATATCAATTAAGCTTTTGTACTAAAGTTAAAAATCCTGTAGCCCTTATTTGTGTTTTATGTATGTACTCAGCATAAGTGAATCATACCAGGCAGTGAAGTAAAGTTTCATAAATAGTGCACAAGAAGTCAAGGAAAGCTGTAGACATAGCTTAGTCAGTACTGGGGAGCAGAGCTTTGGGTGTATGTTGGACCTGTCTCCCTTTCTCTACATGAAGGCAGTGCCACAGGCATCCATCATCCTTTGGTAGAGGCAGCCCTTTCCTGGTCTCCCTGTTTTCACCTGGACCTCCTTGCAGACATAAACGTCTGTCATCTCTGTATTCATCACAGTTTCATCCCTACTGCCTACAAGACACTTGTATTAGTTATCTATTGTATAAGAAATTACTCATATAATGGCTTAGGACAACAAATACTTTTCATGGGTCAGGAATCTGGGCACAGCGAGCTAAGTGCCCCTTGCTCAGGGTCTCTCACAAGGCTGCAATTTAAGTATTAACTGGACAATCTCATCTGAAAACTTTGCTTCCAGGCTCACTCATATAGTTACTGGCAGGCCTTGGTTCCTAACTATGTGGGTCTCTCTTATGCTGCTTGAGTATTTCTACAACATGGCAGCTCGTAACCCAAAAGAGATCCAGAGAGTGGAAAAGAGTGCCCTAGATGGAAGCCACAGTCCTTTTGTAACCGAATCTCATAAGTGGTATCACTTCTACTCTGTTCTATTGTAAGAAGTGAGCCAGTAGGTTTAGCCCACGTTCAAGGAGAAGAGATTATACAAGGGCATGAATATCAGGGAGTGGGGATCTTTGGGGGCCATTTAGGAGGCCAAATGCCACTGTACTCCTCTGTTTATCTTAATAATCCAGCTTTGGTCTCAGTCAGTCAGTCTCTCTCTCCCTCTCTCCCTCTCTCCCTCTCTCCCTCTCTCCCTCTCTCCCTCTCTCCCTCTCTCCCTCTCTCCCTCTCTCTCTCTCTCTCTCTCTCTCCCCCCTCCCTCCCCCTCTGTCCCCCTCCTCACTTATGTGTGCATATATATAAATATATATATGTGTGTGTGTATACACACACACACACACACATATACACATCTGTATATACACACACATACACATATATACACATATATACATATGTATATACACATACACATATATACACATATATACATACACGTGCGTATATATATACACATATATATGCATATATATATATATATATATATATATATATATATATATATATGGGGGGTGGAGAGAGAGAGAGACAAGACAGACAGACACATGATCTTACTCTGTTGACCAGGCTGGTCTTCAGTGCCTGGACTCAAATGATCCTCCTGCTTGGGCCTCCCAAAGTGCTGGGATTATAGGTGTGAGCCACCCTGCCTGGCCCCTCTTCTTTATTATGCATTTCCTTAACTCTTCAAATGATTTCTAAATTTATGTAGTATTCATACTATACAACTTATTTGGCGTACATCATTTACTACCTTATATTGGTAGTTACTTCTTCATTGCTCTTGAGGACAGTGACAAAGCTGCATATACCATAGTGTCTTGTACATGGTAGGGCCTCAATAAATGTTTGTGATAATACTTTATCCTTTCCATGGATAGTATATGAAATATGTTTATATTAGTTGATCTTTAAAATAAGGATGTCATTGGCTCGATAAGTATTACCGTCATTTTATAAATATGTAAAAATGAGGTCATAGAAGTTAAAAGACTTGACCAAAATCTGTGAATTGGGAAAGAGAATGAACATTAGAACCAAAATTTCCTCAGCTTGCAAAGTTCTTTTCACTGATTGAAATCTTCTTTGTATATATTAGAATAGTTAGCCAAAGTCAAAGCATTCAACACTGAGGTACAGAGATAGTAATGAACTTTGTATGATTTAGTACTCTCATATTTCTTAAAATGCTGGAAAGAATTATAGGTAAATTCTGCCTTTCTGGCAGATTTTTGGCATGTGATCTTATGAGGGGAATAAGAGAAATGTCATTTCAGAATGCTGAACTTGAGCTGGGAACCTGGAGAAGCAGAAAGGTCTGAATATCCAAAAGATGTGGACATGATGATAGAGGAACACTAGCTGTCATCGTTACTTCTTTGTAGTATCAACACATTGACCCTCCACAACTTCACAAACTTCTGGGTGAATCTAAAAAACTATTCTCTTCACTTCTCCATTATCCTTACTTTGGCATACTGAATTAGACCATCTTTTCTGCCCACATTTAATTCAAGTCAAGAAGTATGAAATGAATTTGTACTATGTGCTAGCACTATTGCTAGTGCTTTTTGGAATTCAAAAGAAGGTGATTACCTTGAGAACTCTAGCGTTGAGTCAGACAAACTCAGTGCAAATTACAGTGCATGGTGGCACATGAGTAAAAGGTGATGTAAGTCTGTCAGGAGATCACCATGGCATGTGTATACCTATGTAACAAACCTGCACGTTCTGCACATGAACGCCAGAACTTGAAGTATAATTTTTAAAAAGTGCTAGTTTATACTAATTAAACACTTTAGTTTGTGGTTATTTATATCTTTAATTTTAAAATTTAGAGCTAAAACTGTGACTTGAAAATAGGTTAATATACATAATCTTTTAAAATAATCGATAGGGCAAATAATAAAAGGGATTCTTGGAGAAGAGATTATTAGAGGTTACTTTACCAACTTAAAATATTGGCTCTTAGTCTGAATTCAAGAGAACCTAGCAAGGTAAAGTGCACTGCCTATAGTTGGCAGCCAAGAGGTCTATAGCAGGTGGAGAAGGTGTGTCATCAAAGGATCAAGCATACAAGCAGCAGGAAAGCAAGCCTCAGAATGGAAGGGGTGGGGAACAGCAAACAAGAGAAGAGCTATCTGTCACCAATTCTAGTGAAATAATCCAATACTCAAGTTCTCCTGTCTCTGGCTTTCTCTTTATCCTCTCATCTTGACAGAGAACCAGGAGTCTGGACTGTAGATGTTCAAGTTACGATAGCTGAAAAGAGCTACCTAGGTAGCAATTGCAGCTACAGAGAACAAAACAGAAAGTATCTGGCAGAAATCTTTTCTTAGACAGTTATCTTTTGCTGAGAAGTGCCCTTGCTCCTTACTAGGGTCTGGAGGAGCAAAGGAAGACATTGACTGGGGCATGGAATTAGTTCCCAGAACTGGTACTTGGATCATATCATTCCTGTTCAGTACAATAGTGTAATCATTGGCCTTCTTACCAGGAAGATGGGGAGCTGTTGAGTTTGTATGGGCCCTACAAACCTGGAGGAGTGGCAAGAGCATCTCTTAGACCCAGCTGAGAAGGTATAGGGCAAAAGTAGCATGCCATCAGAAATGAAATGAGATGAGACAAGGTTAAAAAAAAAAACCTGGGAAAAGTCCACACTGGGTCTTCAAAGTAAACAAGCAGGTCCTGAGAGTCAAAATGAAAGTCATAGGGTGTGACTTGGAAGAAGAGAAGCAACAGCAGTAGATGGGAATAGATACAAACAAGAGAATCCCGGAGATGGGAGACTATGGCCTGTGGCTGATATTTTCTCTGCTCCCAGTCATACCTGATTATGTACTTGCCCCAAGACACTGTCATGAATAGACTGGGCTTCAGAGTCTGGCATGGACTACTAGGAAATTATATGCAAAGCAGGTTACAGAGCCCAGAATTTCTTCAAGTTCTCATGCCTACAAGGAGGAGATAGGACAATTCATTGCATTTTTCTTCTGTGGTTCCTTAGCAAAGTCCTTAGAATATCCAAGTAGGAAGGTGTTTTTCATTTACCAATGGCACGACTCACTGAAGAGCGGGCAGCTTAGTCACAAGCTTGATTAGGGGATCAAAGAGGAGACTTAACTTTCTCTAAGTTTTGAATTGAGACAGAAGTAGGACCTGGCCTTTTATTGCACATAGCTATCAGTCAAATAATTTGGGCATATATTCATAATATGTGTATATTTATTTATAAATTATATATTTTTATTATATAGTGAATACATTATAAAATACCAACATATAAATTTTTTAGTAAGATAAAGTTGAAGAAAGTATTAGTAAATTTTTTTGAGATGGAATTTCACTCTTGTTACTTGGGCTGGAATGCAATGGCACAATCTCGGCTCACTGCAACCTCCGCCTACCAGGTTCAAGCGATTCTCCTGCCTCAGCCTCCCAAGTAGCTGGGATTACAGGCATGCACCACCATGCCCAGTTAATTTTGTATTTTTAGTAGAGATGGGATTTCTCCATGTTGGTCAGGCTGGTCTCGAACTCTTGAACTCAAGTGATCCACCTGCCTCAGCCTCCCA